TCATTCAATCTAAAATATTTTCAGCACGTATTTAAGCAAGAAAACAACATACTCAGACTCTGATATCAATGTAAAACATGCTTTCATGCTTTTAACTAATTTTAATTGTGAAACTTACTTGAAAATCTCAAAAATGAGGTTGAATTACTTGCCTATCGATTGCTTGCCTCCAACACTGCCTTGTACCCGCTTTTTGGTCAAAACTCTATCAACAAGGAAGAAGTTTGTTTTTCACAATCCAAGAACCCAATTTGAGATGTTATCTTCCAAAATATCAAGCATTTTTGCTCATATATTTTTCTTCCACTCCCTTAACCCGAATTTTTGTTTTTGTTTTTTTACTTTTCAAAAGAATGAATAATGGAAATTGATGGGAGTTATGGATCGTGGGGGAGGTTAACTATTGAAGATCTTATAAACTTATTGTTGTCCCCAAATTTGGGAAATCGGTAGCTTTGTCACATTCTTCATGAATTATCCAAAAGTATCCCTAGCATATCTCCTTGTACTAGGAGAGAATGGTGGAACCGTCGCTCTCAGCTCACTCACACCCACCTTAAGTGCAGATCATAGAATATCCTTCTTTACTAGCATTTTCCATATTCAATTCCACATGGCTTAAATCATTTTCAATTAATTGATGAACCGAACGGTATATTGTGCAATGTCTATCTAGAAGCAAAGTTAAATGTTTCAATGATCACTGAATTTTGTACCATGTCATAGCTTACTCACCGAATTTTTAAAAGCGTCCCATTAACAACGGAACTTTATTCCGTCATCATCCATTACTCACCAGTGGCTCTCGTTTGAATTGAGGCTCATGTGGAGGACAAAAGTATGGCCTGTCTAGCTAACCTCTTCTAAATTGTAAGACCTCTGCTAATTAGCGTGGTCAAAAATTAGTCAATCAAACTGGAGATGGAATGGGATATGCCTCAGCGCCCTTATCCAACCCCCTTGCCTTATCAATTCTCTGAACTCATCTTCAGTGCTCTTCCACGTCAATGGCAAACTAACCACAATTCCACACTTTACAGTCTCCATGTGCCTGGGCTTTATCTTCCTATCCAAACTAAATGCAAAATATTGTGGAAATTCCTTCAGATCATCCAATTCACCCATCATTTCCTTGTCAAACACTCAAATTTAGGCTTGAAATGGTTCTTTGTTGAAAGAGAACAATCCGAGACACCTTAAAACGATTCCCACAGCATCATCTTTCGAAAATCCTAAGGATACTAAATAATTCAGCTTAGGAATCAACGTCTTCTCCACACTAGAAACTAACAACATGGGATCTTGATATGCCAATGAATACATATCCTTGAAGCCTAATCTTTGAAGATAGAATAAAGCTAGTTTAAGCTAGTCTTCTACACTGGAAATTAACATTCTGGGACATTTGTGTTATCACCTTTCCAGAATTTTGATTAGAACCGTGCTGTATGCACGCTCGACACACAGCATGACCCACAGCTCCCTCACATGTGAGGTCCGTGTCATTTTTTTATTGACGTGGGCCCCCACCTCAGTGAGGGTGCTGCAAGTTGTACAGTTCTAGCCGGACTGTACAACAAGAAAAATCCTTTTGATTAGGGACTTTTTAATTATAGGATAGGAAATTGAAAACTGGGTTAAGGTCATATTTAGTTTCGAATTTTAGAATTTGGGGGCACATGCCAAAAATTCTATCTAAATCCTTTTGATGGATGCGTTTGGACTGGAGGAAGGTGATGACTTCAATAATGGAATGCAAATAAGCGGTGTGGTGAGGCAGGTTTTGGGAGAATGCTCAACCGGAGCCCACGCCCATGATTTCGAGACCAGGATTTTCTCCTTGAATTGGTGCATAAATTCGGGAGCACATGCCAAAGATTTTTGAATGGATTTGGGGACACATGCTAAAGATTCTGCCTAAATCCTTGAATTGTTTTAGGTTTATTTGTTAGGATATTGGAATGTGATTTGGAACCTGAGACTCCATGGTGAAGAATGAAATGGTGGCACTGCAGTTGATATGGTGGCTCCTGTAGAGTGGAGATTTTGAGGTGGAGGGGGTGAATGAGGGAGTGAATGAGGGGAAGAAGAGAGTTTCTTAACGTGGTATTGAGTAGGCTGGGGTCTAACTTTTTGGAAGTAAGTAACGGCACATGTCATAAACTTGTCATTTACGTCGACATTAATTCAAACGACATCCACTGAGCGATTAATGGACAGTGTCGGAGTAAAATTTAGTGATTGATGAGACGCTTTTGAAAGTTAGTTGAGTAAACTATGATATGATGCAAAGTTCAGTGATCATTGAAATAATTAACTCCGAGAAATAAGCCCAACGTCAATCATTCCAATAAGGCGCTAAAATCACCTTCCACATGCTGCTCAGGTGCAGCTTGAACCAAGCTTTGCGACTCTTGCCGTGACTCCAACCGAGCTAGCTTCTAAATCATATTCTTATTAAACTTTTGAATTCTCAGTCGATCCACAAATGAAACTTGTAACTAAATCCACAACATATTGAATTTGCAAGATAAGCTTGATTTTATGACATAAAATGATTAATAAATCCTAATTCACTTGGTTCTCATCGCAATTTGAAAAAGGTCTCAAACTTTTTAAGAGGTATGTCCAAGATGCCCTTATTCAAAATAATCTAAATCTGCAGTCCTTGTATTTTCAATGTTATGCAATTCTTCTCCTGCATTTTCTTATTTTGGAATTCAATACTTGATTTTCTGTTTGCAGCAACATGGTCCCCAAATAACTTGGATTATGCAAATTGGATCCTGACTTTTCAAAATTTTGCAATTCAGCTAATAAATCCTTATTTCCACACTCAACAAGGATTCTGACCAATGTTGCATGCCACAATCACCTACAAGGTTTGAATTGTTTAACTTATTTCTCTCCTTCACAAAAGGGACAACTTCTTTATTGTTATTCAATTTATTTATTTATTATTTATTTTTATTTTTATTTTTTTTGTGCAATTTTCAATTCATCCATTAATTGATGATCAACATTTGAATTCTTCCTCGTTGGATCATTTTCTTATTTTCAGCAACTACATCCTCCTATTCTCTTAGAATATAAGGGCTTGTTTGAGCCACATTATTTTCAAAAAAATATATTATTTAATTGTGATTTGATATCATTTTAATCATACATCTTTCAGTAAAATAATATTACACGCAAATTTAAAATTTTTTCTTATTTTTAACCATACATTTCTCATTGATTTTATATGAATAATGCATTTTTTTTCCCTCGAATATAGCTCAAACATTGGCTAAATAAATCTTCCTTGATTTTCAACAATTTTACTTCGATTTAAAGATGTACCCCCCTGCCATTTAGGCCATGTTTGAGCCACATTTTTTTCAAAAAAAAGAAAAAAAAAAGCAGTAATTTGACATAATTTCAACTACAGATTCTTTAATAAAATAATATTACACGCAAATTCAAACATTTTCTTTATTTTTCACATATTTTCCATCAATACATTATTCAAAAATGCATTCTACCGAAAATAATGTGGCTCAAACAAGGGCTTATTCTTTTTCATGATGTCCTATTTAATTAACAATCAGGGATCGATGTAGGGGGGATTGAGCCGGGCTCTAGTCCCCCAAAGGCTAAAGAATTTTTTTTTTTTTTAGTAAGGTATTTTTCTTGTTTGTCTTTCTTTCTTTTTTTTTTTCCTTTCTTTTTTGTAAAAACAGGTTTTTATATGGAAAAATTTGTTTTCGCTTATTAGCCCGGTTTGAAATTTTATTGCCTGATCTTGAATTTAATCCTAAATCTGTCTCTATTAACAATTGTGCTATATGTACATTTAAACTAAGGTTACATTCTTATTTCATGTGGCTAAATTTACATTATTGATTTTGTCTACAGCCATCATAACACTACCCAGATTTTTGCTAGGAGAGTATGAAATACATTGTCAACTAATAATGTACATATGACTTTATTCATTTAATTAATTACACTTACAACAGTATGATGATAACTTTTCATAGCTCCATTTGACCTCCATTTCTTAAAATTATTATTTTTTTAAATTATTTTCAATGAATTCACAATTTTTAAACATCATATTACATTAATTTTTATTAAAATCTATTAAAAAGTTGATTTTTATCAATGCCAAACATGAGCATACAGAGAGACCTTTTGGCTTGACTTTCAAAAAGTCAAAAAGGGCTTTTGAGACTTAAAAGCTATTTTCAAATCTGTTTGACTAATGTTATGATAGTAATGGCAATGGGGTGGGGCGGCCTTCGACAGGCAGGGCGGGGCGAGGAGGGGGCTTGCCCCGCTTTTTTTTTTTTGCTTTCTCCAAATTCCAAGTTCAATAAAATACAGATAATATTCAAGCTGACAAAGTTAATATCCAAAACAAACACTATAAATCTTAAATATAATGGTCGATATTGGGACACAACATTTATTATTAGGATGAACAAGATTTTTTGTGTTTTTTCCTTTGATATTATCACAAAAGTTGTAACCCCACACACTTTAATTTATTACAATATTTAATATATAGATTTTCAAATTTGTTCAGTTAAATATATTATATCGTTTTATTTGTTTTTATCCATATAATATCAATTTAATAAAGTAGCATAATGGTATATATAAATTAGTCAAGTTTGATAAGACTTGTACAATTAATGATACTAGAAAATAGGTCACATCCTTCTATTTGAATCAAATTAAACCCCTAACCTTTTAATCAAACCAAAAAATAAATTAAAAAATTCATGGGGCGGGTGTGAAAGTATTTTTTTCTATTTAGAAGAACTTCTAGAGAAATCTGATCTAATATAATTTCTTCTAAAAGCACTCTTGAAATAGGAAGTCCTCTTAAAATTTATTTTCAAACAAAAATCAAGTTGACTCCCTTCAAAAATTCGTGTACAAAAAGTAAAAAAGTAAAAGTAGAAATCATATCAAACACATAAAAAAGTTTCTTGCCAAAAGCCATCCTCCCCTCCACTGTCTTCAAAGGTAATACCTAGTTGCACAGATTTTCGAGTACAAGTCCGTTTACTTACATAAATGCATTCAACTATCATAAAATCCCTAAATATCTACTCTCTTCACGTCACTGCTGACCACGTCTTTCCCACTGTCGTATCTCCGCCTTCATAGCCGCCACAAGAAACCCACTCTTCATCAAACTCAATTCGCATGCTTTCCATTTTACAGAAGCAAAAGGCAAAAAATGTCATCCCCTCAAGAATCCTCATCGCCATTCCATTGGCAAGCTGCCGAGTTCGACGACAGCGACTTCCAAATCCGCGGCCTCACACTCTTCTTTATGATTGTTCTTTTCACGATCATTCTCTTAGGGACGTTCATATTCCTTTACGCCCGGCGTGTCTGCCTCTTCCGCGCTCCACCACTGCCTGCCAACGCTTCACCTGTCCACTCGGCCCACCCGTCACCTCTGACACCGCAGGGGCTGGACGCCGTGACGATTAACAACTTGCCAACTGTATTATGCAAGGGTAACTCTACTGAATCGGAGTGCTGTATATGCCTCGGGACTTTTCTTGACGGCGATACAGTGAGAGTGCTGCCTCATTGCGACCACAGCTTTCACTTGGAGTGTGTTGACAAATGGCTCACGACGCAGTCCAGTTGTCCCCTTTGTCGTGCTTGTCTCCGAGTCGACTCTCCTGTTTGACTCGTCTTTTTTTAACTTCCCTTTTTATTCTTCACTCTCTTTTTACCTCCTTCAAATTCGGAATTCGTCATTATTTCCATCAAATCACAAAGAATCGTGATTCGTGCAGGCTGTGCTCGTCAATCTATACTTTTAACATATAATAATTAATTTTATTATGTCTACAACTTTAGTTTCACATTTTGCTAATTTAGGGCATTTTCAATAGTGATTTTGAAAATTGAATTTTTGATTGTTAAGAGAAAAGCGGGATCACTTATGAGAGAAGAAGTCAAAAATTACGATTGAAATAGTAAAATAACGGTCAAAAAATCAATTCTTTTGAATGAGAAATCACTCACAAATGCAACATTAATGTTATTTTTTGGAAGAATAATTCTATATGTGCATTATAAACATCATAATATACATGTGACATAATCCTTTTTGGAATCTGTTAAGCCTTATTATTGATTTGAGGGTTGATTATACAAAACCTCATTTCAAGTTAAAAGTTGATTTTTAAATCAGTAAGTTGCATTTAAAATATTTGAAGAACTTTTTGAAAGTGTTTTATTTGATTTGAAAGACTTTTAGAAGAAACTGACTTAATCTTACTTCTACAAGAACTTTGTACTCAGTGTTTCAATTGTCATCAAAACTTTGTACTCAGTGTTTAATAGGCTCGAATTTTGATTCGTTTATCATATTGAACTTTAAAACTCATTTCAAGTATACCATCATGTTAATGGCCTATTGTTAACAGTAAATCATACGTAGCGCTACCATTTCGTTAATTCAATAACTCTCGATGTTCATGTTGATTAATTGTTAAAACGTATAAAACTATTTTCATAACGAGTTGTTAAAACGTATTAATAGTTAAAATATGAGGGCGTTAATATCAAGTGACATATTACATTACTCAATTAACAGAATTAACACCGTGTGGTAAAGTAACAAAATATAATCTCGTTCATAACTTCATAACTAACCATCAATTCATTTATCCCAAATATTTTCTTAAGATGTTTCTAGGGGTCACAAGTGGGAAAATCGCTAGTCAATTCGACTTGCACGCGATGCGAGCCAAGCAGCATAATACTTGTGCTAATCGTTCGTTGACTCGTACAACTTGGCTCGCAAGATGCTCATTTTTTATTTTTTTTTGCTCAAATAAAAAAAATTAGTTAAGTTTTATTACAGTAAGAGAATTAATCGAGTTAGTAAAGTAATGTGTAAAGATGCAATTTCCAATAAAAGCCAAAAAGAAAGATATAAAGCATTGGAGTTATAAAGCTGTAAAATTTTTGCAATGAAATTTCCTGTTTAGAGTTTGAGTAAGCATTTTGCAATTGTTGCAAACTGATGCATGCGCTTTTTAGCTTATATTTTTCATTTGGGTAGTTTTTTAACTTTTTACCAAACTCATTGTAAGTGCAATTCTGAATTCATTCCAATTATGTGGTAATAGTGCGTCAATTACAAGTGGAAGTTTGGTACAAGGGAATTTTATTAGGATAAAATTTCAATATGGCCCTCAATCTATTATTAAAATAACAAGTTCATTATCAGTACTTTAAAAAATAGCAACTAGTTACTGTATTTCTTAATGTAGTTGCACAATGTGTCAGATCTCTATTACTCGTTCGTGGATCTATATTTTGCTTTTCAATTTGGACTTAACAAAGATATTGAAGAGAGACATATTTGAGTAACATCTGAAAATTTAATAAAGATTTGAACGGTTTCCATTAAAGCAAATTGATTGTGCAATGCAATCATAATGAAACATCGTGAGCCAATTTGCTACAACTATAGTAGATTAGGGACCAATTATGAAACTTTCCCATGTTCAAAAGATACAAAATTTAAACACGAAAATGTCAATGTGAATAGTTAATTTTCTCACGTAATTTGCTTTGGAGTTGATAAGATTGAAAAATAGGTTCAGCCTAACCGGCTTACCAAATTAATTGGTTAAAAGTCAATTTGATTATCTATTAAACTAATTAATTTAGAGCCTAATTAAGTTAACCACAATAATCAATTGATGCACAACACAAGCTAGGCAATCTCCATAACTAAGCTAACATATAAATATCATATTTTGGCCCCGGGGCGGACCCAAGGGGTTCCTAGGGTCACGTGACCCCCAACTTTTGAAATTCTTTTTTTCTTTTTTTGATGAGTTTTATTTGGTATTGATTGAAATCTAAATCAAAGTTAATAATTAAATTTAATAATATATTTCATGGAATCCTTAACTTTTATCAAAATTTACTAAAAATTTGATTTTAACTTCCCCCTAACAGGGGCAAAATCACAATAAATTTGATTTTTTTTCCTCGCACTCTATCTTACTTTCTCCACCCACACCTTTTACCAAAACCTTAACTCTTTTATTTTCTTTAAAATTTGTTTATAATTTTTCTACAATTATCACATCTATCACCAATTTTCACTTTTCAATCAAATTTTCAATTCTATTTGTGTATATAGAATGTGTCTGAACTGATTATGTCCAATTCAACTTATATCTAACGAATTGCATTTATTTGGTTGAATATTGATATAAGTTTTTTCTTTCAATCACTTGAATTGACTGTTCGAAATCAAATGGATGAAAATGATGAGCAAAATATTAATGAAAAATACTTTATAAATGTAAATCTGCATTTTCTCGGATCAAGTATATAAATCATTTAAAAATCAATAACAAAGTATTCGATTTGTACAGAGTTGATTGTGCCCCAATTAAAAATTTTTGCATCCGCCCTAATTTTGGGAAATTCACTTTGAAATGAATCAGTGGAAATTAGGTTTTGAAATATCCACAAACTCAAACACTCTTTTTCATAAACCCGCTGCTTGCATGACGACACGACGTTGATGTGCTAATTTAAGATAAAAACATGTGAAAAGTCCCTAGCCAAGTGGAAAAACAGCTTGATCGGATCATTTCAATGAAATCTTTACAACATGTATAGTAATAGATGTCGTGAATCTAAGTTATTATTGATGGAAACTGCATAAGTAGTATGGTATGGATAGCTTTTGATTATGGAAACATATATATACTAACAAAAACTTATAAGCAAAAGACAAATTAAAGAATATCATTTTATACTTTTTTTGCTTTTTTGAATGATAATGTCTAATGGATTATTCAAATATCATTTCTTTTCAAGTCAAACAAAATAACATTTAATTTCAATAGAAATATAGAATAATAAAATTAGAAATGAGGTATTTTCATGCTCTTAGTTCACAAGTGTAAGTCTTCACAACAAGCATGGTTGAAGTTAAAGTAATACTTGTACATTCATAATTAATTTAATTTCTATCATTGTCTAAATAATTGTATTCCTATAGTAAATAATGCTCTACGTTAATTATTATTATTTTTTTTAAATTTCACCATTTCTTCAAATGAGACTCGAACCCAGGTGCATGTTTGGGGAAAAGATTTGTTGAAAATCATTTTTTCCATATTCATTTTTAATCATGCATTCCTAAAATTATTATTTTTCATGTTTTCTCGTAATTTTTCCTTATTTTTAATCACACGTTCTCCAAACTTTATTTTTCGAAAAATCTCTATCACAAAAGGTCAGGACACTTGATAAGGCTTCATTCTTATCACTTGACCTAGGTCCGATCCCTTAAATAATTATTTTTATATCATGTGAAAACTATCCATGTTTAGTTCTATTACAAACTATAGATTAAGAAAACACAAAAATATTCAACTTTGAGTCAACCATACATAAACATACAAATGACATAGTGAAGAAAATGAAAATGGGAATTAACCAACATTCATTATTTAAAACAATCGAGTTTTGAGAACCTAAAAAATCAAAATTTTTGAAGAAATAAGTGGAAATCACATTTACCCATTCACACAAATATGGAAAAGGGCAAACAAATACAAAAATTCTTCCCAATAAGTGAAAAAAAATTATAAAATTATGTTCGAGTTATCTCAAAATATTCATCTCTTCGTGTTCTTCAAACATCTTGCACACCTATTAAAATATAATTTTTATGTCTAACATCTTATAAAGAGAAAATTCAATAATAAAAACAAATACTTTTTTTATAAGAAAAGATAAATTCTTTCAATGCAAGCCGATTCGTAGGTATCAGAACCGCATGGATTTAAAATCTCAGGATTCCTTTAGACTTGAAAATCGACGTTCAGAGAGACCACATGATTCTCGTATATAAATTTTGATTGATAAGAAAGAATTCTTGTGCCAATCTGATTTTGATTTTGTTTGTGTAACGACCTGAAAATTCTTAAAATTTATAATTTTTTCATTAAAGTCGAGAAATAGGTACATGCACATATACACCTTCACCATAGAAGAAAGATTACATATATACACCTCCACCATAGAAGAAAGAGTCTAACGTGAAACGAATTTAAAGATTCTTCGAACCACAAACTACTTTATCTTCATTCTTTCTCGTTCGTTTTTCAGTTTTTTTCTTTCAGCTGCAACCGGTGGAATTTTTTCGACAGTGGTATTAGAACTCAAGGTACAAATTCTAAGGTTGAGCTAAAGATGATGACAATTTTAAGGTTTGAGGTGGAACGGCGGTGATGCATTTGCACCAAGGCGTCCTCAAGTCACAAAAGGGTATAACTGTGGTGATCGAGTTACACCGATTGAGTGACACATTATCACAAACATGGAATGATTTGACCTTGTACAATTTGTCCTCTTCTTCATCGTAACACTCTGGAAAAACTAAATTTGTCAATGGTAAATGAAAATTGCAAATAACATTGCCATTCGTCACATTCCACTTGTCATCAAAGTCGTCGCTTGGTTTTATTTCAATCTCCACTCAGCAATTGCACTTTCGCAAAATTGCTTCCATTTTTAATTTCCACAAAGATAAATTGCCCCGTTGTACTTCTCAATCTCAAATTGTACTTACATAAAATACTCTTTATAAATATATAGTATCTTGAAATTACCCTAATATTTTCCCAAAAAGCTGTTCTTTAGAAGGTTACTTGCGTATCCAAGTGTACTAAACCACCATACCCATGTGTGAGGGTGAGCCAAATTGTAATAGATTTCAGACCACCTTCGATGTGACAACATATTACGTGAGCATTTCCGGTAAAAATATAGACTTTCTACATATCCAAGAATACATAAATTTCAGAATAAGATCATCTGATATCTCTCCCCTACAAAAATGTTGAATTTGGTAGAGGTTCATCAAATATGTAAAAATCAATCAAAATTTAGATATATAAGATTCTTTCGCCTGTTACATAAGATCAATACAATCATCATCAAAAAAGTCCTCAATTAATCAACATTGCTCAAATATTTAATTAATGAGAAGGATAAAAGAACCTCTGTCTCTTGCTCCTCGCCCGATAATTTGATGTAGCAGAAGACATAGCAACACGGTTCAATACGATATAAAGTGACTGCTTGAGAGTGCTAAAACAAGATTTTTCTTCCATACCATTTTTGGCACAAAGGGCAAAAATGGCTTTCATTCTGCCACCTAAACTGGTTATATCAGCTTCAAGAATGGTGAGTCTAAGGCCCTTGAGGGCACAATTCAGCTCTGCAAATAATTCCGGCCTATCGTCACAGCAAACAGAAGCCTTTATGTATATATTATTCTCCATGCTTGATTCTTCTAGGTCCAAGTGATCTATTGTGACTTCATCTATATCAGTTGGAATTGTGGAGATTTTGCTGATTTCTTTTGCTTTTTGCCTTAGATCCTTCACATGCTCTACTACTTGTCCTAATAGAGCCGCCTTGTCCATCTGCAGAAACACACTATTTCGATTTAATTTGAGAATGTTTCATTAACTAAAGAATACTGCAGAAATAAGTGCTCGTTTACTAATAGTAGATTCTCTGGATTTTAGTGCAGTTTGATCCATAAATTCAAAATAATTTTGACATAGTTATCAAGTATGCACAGCATTATATAAGACCCAGCCAAGCTACATTAATATTCAAATATTTCTTCTTAGAACGGATTGATTTGCCCCATAAGCGGGTATCTACATGTACAATCTATGACTAGACGTACTATCCTTCGAAGGGGTACGTTTCCATAAGATATCAAGTGTCTCTATTGTATTAATATACCCGATTCGTGCTTTGTTTTGGAGGAGACAAAAAGTCAGATTTGTAGACTTGCCTCCATCCTTTTTTGCCGTAAAAAGTTCGTAATTTGGTGGTTTAGTCGAGAGACTATCTCAAGATGATAAAAAAAAATAAAAAATAAAAAATAAAAAATAAAAAAAATTCATCGCTAAAAGTAAAATTTCTTGTAGTGCTCGGGTGAGAGAGAGGAGGGTAGAGAGAAACCAACCTTTTCAGACTTTGGGATCAGTTTTCTGAGAGTTGCAAGCTGTCCATTGATCCTGTCTCTGCGCCTTTTCTCAGCTTCACTGTGGCTCCTTGAAGCACTGCCACCTCTATCTTCTGCCACCCCTTCAAAGGGGGCCGGCCAAGGCGGCAACACCGAGGAAGGATAACAATGAAATTGGAGAGCCGCCTCTGATGCCGCCACCTCACCAGGAGGAGGAGGATTTGGAGGAAGCCATGGAACCAGAAAAGGATTATCACTTTCCAGTTCACTTTGGCTCTGATTCCAAGAGGCATATCGATATTCTTCAGGCCAAAAGCAATTTTCCATTTGAAAGAAACAATCTTTTTCTCCAATCGACAAACAGATTATACCACATCTATTGCCAAATTTTTCCCAGTACTAACTAGCCTACGCTACCAGTGTAATGTGTGAAATTCAAGTGTAGATTGTGACATCGAGTAGCCTTTTATTGGCCAGATGGAATTATAGGAACTATTTTTGGCCTTATCTTCCAGTCACCTCAAACATCAAAATTTTCGATATCCAATCAACTGTAGAAACAATGGCCCGACTCTAAATTTTCATCAGCTTGAATATTATCTTCAATACATTTTATGGGCTTTCACTATGTCCACCCATTATTATGCATAAAAGTTGGATTACAGTTCAATAAAAAAAATTCTGAGAGCAATTCCCATAAATTTGTCGGATGTGGACAGGGATTTTGATTGACCTAGTAATAGAACAACATCTGTAGTAGAGGATAGTACAAGACCCTAATGCATTAATTTTAACAGTGATATCTCACTGCAATATTATACACGAAATATCCCAGTCAGTTTATGTAGAGCCAACTACTCACATCAGTCGGATTGTGGGGCATGTCATGATTGGGAATCCCATTATTTTTGTGAAATTTATACATCTACTTCATCTTGGTAAATTTTAGCCCAAAATGCTGCTTCGTTTTAGTTGTAAAACCCACCATTAGAGTTGAGCTATACTAAGAAAACTATCGTAGTTTTGTTTTGTTGATAATAATGTTCGACACTTTCATCGTTTTCGTTGATTCTTCCTCATCCTCTTTCACTTCTCTCCCCCCACCAACACAACCCAACAAAAGAAGAATCGTTTAGGATCAAATCTCATGATTAAGATGGACATTGTAGATAAATTAAAGCTATCCTGGTTTAAAATAATCTACTAGGCATGCTTTTTTTTTCATTGTTTTTCATTAATCAATTCACCTTTACATAAATGAACTTGGGATTGATTAAGTTGTCCTTTGCTAAAAACAAAAGAACTTAAATTACAATCCACCGTAAGTCTTGATGTAGGACCCCATCCACAGCCATAGTTGTAACTCCACCATGAAGTGGATTTTAAAGATTGATATGACCATTGATCTACCCAACCCCCTACCCACCCCAACGAAACCAATTTGTTTCAATATAATGTGTGGCCCGTGTAGTCTCCCCCTCCATTACTTCTCTCAATTGAATAATTAGATCTAAGAACGACATGGGTAGCCACCCACAATTTTAAGTCCATTTTTGGCCCTCGTTTCTTGAAATTCATTCTTATCTACCGTCATTTTCAACAACACATTTCTTGAAACTCACAATTTTTATCAACTTTTCAACCACTCAGATCATTAACATTTTATAAAAATCTACTAAAAACTTGAATTTTAACAAAACCAAACATGAGCAAAATAACACACATTATAGATTGGATCAATTAATCACATGAATCAATATCAAATACAGCAACTGATGAATCTTATCTATCAACATATTTACATGAATAGACGCTCTACACTTCACTAAAACACTATAATACAATTTCAAATGCAGAACTTTTTTTCATGTTATGGGGTACACTTATCACCATGGAAGCTAGCAAAATTCAATATTGTTGATGATTTTTTATGGGGTCCCATTAGGCTAAATGTTCAAAATCTTATGCCTCACGAAGAAAATGCGGAAAATTAGGACCGCATGAAATAGTTGAATCCAATATGAGTTTCTTTTCAAACAACAACTTGATAACACAAGCACTTAAAGATAAATGATAGACATGCCAGACTATCAAAGAAGAATAATGTAACTAAAAAAGGTTGAACCCCAACTTTAAGAGCCCCCACCGACCCTGCCCTGGGCCATCGTGGAGGAGGTAAATCGCAGGATGTGCCTCCCAGGAGCCAGGGTGGAGAGCACATGGATAGGCCAAGGCTGTTAACCCATATGGTAACTCCCGCTTGCAACAAAGCCAATTCCACCTTGTGGGAAATCGAACTCTGCACACTGTCGCGCTGAGCCCTATCCGCCCTCCCCTTTGCCACTGGGAGATATGCCCTGGGGGCAAGAATAATGTAACTAGAAAACACTGAAGGGTGCTGAGTCCAAATAAATTAAGTCTATACATGAAATGAGAAATTCAATATTTACCCTTTTGAATGAATGAGCATCCAATGATATTTGGCTAATATGTTTGCTGTCAGCTCTTTGGAGTAATACTGACTCGGCTTCATCATCAGGATGCAAAAGTAACCTCGGTTTTTGGCTACAAGCCGAACCCACTTGTGAGAGGAGTATTAAGACTTGGGGTTTTATTTGAAAAGATCAACCTTGTTAAGAGGAGTAGTACAATCCCTTATAAGTTTATTTATGTATTCACATTTGTTTGACTTGGGATTTTAACCCTTAACAAGAAGCCACGTATAAAACCATTGCCTCTTACCAAGAATAGTTAAAAACGAACAAACAAAACATGTACAAATTCATTAATACCCTGACCAGCAAAGGAAAATGTCAGATATTTTACTCAATCATCTTTAAATATTTGGAATGTGCTAGCAAATCACTATCAGTAATAGTGTTAACCTTATCCTTTAAGCAGGGAAATGGAGCAAACAAAAAAGGGAAAAACTGAGGAAGAAGTTGATATCGCAATTTTGGTTACCCACTATGGTATCAAAATCAGAAGGAATGATTTCCATAGGGATTGGGGGTGTAAAACACTGCCTTTGGGTAACTAAATTATGATAAAATAAACCTTAGAAGCATCTCCAACTATCATAGAGAAAATTTAACATGAATTTAAGTGAAGTGAATCTAATAATAGTTAGATTAGGATGCACGAAACTATGGGAAGAATTATGTACGTGACTAACGGACTGACTAACCACTAGTGCAAAGGGAACAATGTCCCTAGAAAGTAAAGGTGAACATCAAGTAAGTTATTTTGCGATCACAACTTTAAAACAAATGCAAAGACAAGGGTCAATACGACATAGGAGGAAAAATTGACATTCAATTAATGGTTATAAACTGGACAACATTACCTACAAACTTAGCCAACGTGATGGCTTCAACTAACAACTCTTTTCAGGCAACTCCATATGCAAAATAGAACACAATAATTCCCCACATCACAGGTTGTCCCCCTTTTTTACAATGTCAACGTGGACAACAGATGTCGGACCCACTCGTGTCCACGCAAGTAAATTTCAGCACGTTTTGGTCGGAGATACTATCGAAAATCATTACAGTAATGGATGTGGGAGATGCTCTACGACACGAGATGAAAATGTTCGAGCACCGACAATGTGATCAAGAATGATTACAAACTCAAGCACATAAAGCAGAAGACTTGCAATTTTATGTATATGAAGTTTGTGTATATTTTTTCCATCATTTGAAATGTTACAAAAGCTATTATTTATAGTGTTCTAACCGACGTGGTGGCCTTTGGATCAGAACCATGTGACTTCATCTCATTTTGCCATACATTAAATACATTGACAAAGGGCCAGCCATTGTACACTCGAAGCTTACATTTCTGACATTCATTAATACAAACGTTATATCAATCATTCTTATAGATACTCTACAAGTCCCCTTTAAAGGCAACAAGTGATTTGGCTTAAAGAGGGGACTTCAGACAGGTAGAGGTTCAACTAGCCAAGAGTATTTTGGCAAAGAACTTCGAATAGAGATTGCACTTCAACCAGAGATCAGCCATTTTCCTTGATTCCAAGTGGTTTTGACATGGCTTCCCCTAGGGCTCCACTTGGCTTCCACTGGGAGCTTCGTCGATTTCAAGTGGTTTCGACATAGCTTTCTGTGGGGCTTCACATGGCTTTTGCTGGGAGCTTCGGATGTAAAGCGTAACAATAGTTCCCCAAGTCTATCTATGATCATTTATGTAACACAAGGACTTTTTCGTTATATTGGAATAAAAAATTTTGTGGGGTGATTACTTTTAACCCATAATAGTCCCCCAAGTCTAATTGCAAATATTTATATAAAAGTTAGGATTTGAAAATATAAGTTATGATGAATTGTTCGAAGTACTTATCGAGATTATTTACTGAAGTTGTACTTTGAGACTCCTGTTTATTCTGAAGTTGAAGCAGAGTTGAGTTCCATATGATCGAGGTTGCTTGCTATTATATAAATCTGAAGTCCGAACGAAGTTGTATATGTTTTGGCTGAAGTGGTGTGCTTCATCAATTTGAATGAAGTTATAGGCAATAATTTTGTGGAGGCCAGTGAATGGATGTGTTAGAAGCACGAGGCGTCCTTAATTATTGTGCCCAAATGATTTGCTGTTTTTGCACATTTTCAAGTAGAGGCTCTTCACTTTCCAGTACATGCAACTGCCACCGCATTTAATGACCAATGATGATTGTTGTAGCGCATTTTACAAGATTGAGACACCATGGAGCACACGATGTAGACGTTGTGATGTAGGCCATTGAAGAAAAAATGGGATATGTGGTAGGTGGTTCAAATTGAATTTTGAATAAAGAGTTGGATTGTCCGAATCGTCATCCAATGGTGGGGATTGAATGACTCTGACTACTTGTTAGGAGTAGGTTTTAGCTTGCGCCCTTCTTCTTATTAGTAAGATAGGTTGGGTGGATCGTGCAATAAGCCTCTCTTGACCCTCTCTTTCTAATACATCTTTATGAAAGCAAGGCAAAAAGCCCCTACCAGACACTCATTAGTTTCGAATGAAGAATGAAGACCCATAAAGAAAGAGATAACTCAAAGAAAACGGCAATAAGACAAGGCCCAAAGGGGAAAAGTTAGCGAAGCCTGCCAGGTTTAATCCAAGTTACGTCCGGGAGAACGCGACATTCATAGAAAGGGCAATGTTACTACAATGAATGAGGAGAAATAGAATCTTAGGTTGAACTGAACTTATTCAATGGATTGTGGGTCGTAACGAGTAACGATTTTGGTGTACTTCTGACATTTGATGTATAGAGGGCTATGTTCTTGACACTCTCTATAGCTTATGTCTAGAGCAACTTAAGTGGAAGCCAAGAAAAAGAAGAAACCAAAAACTTCAAAGTGAATTGTCTGAGTGCTCTCCTTTGTCTCATTGTCTATCTCGTAATCATTTGAAAAGATTCACTCCCAGTATACCATTCATCAGACGATTAGTGCATCTCCAATCTCCTTCGTGCTAATCTTAGGTCTTTTTCATATGAATGGGAAAGAAAAGGCTTGGCTTAGGAGTACTTAAGAGCAAACCCCATCCGAGGAGCTTTCTTTATCATAATCTTTAGCCGGGTATTTTCGTCCTTTGAATCGAGAAGGCAAGGCTAAAACAAATATTTGTTGAATAAGGCAACAAATAGGTGCGAAGCCTTTAACAAGCTTTCTTCGTTCGCACCTTTTAGCATCCATTTCTTTCTTTTTTATTCTCTTTCTTCCCCTTGCTCACTCTTCCTCCCATTCCTGCCTCAAATTCGAACCGCCACTTCTCTGAAAGCATGGTTCTTGCCCCACTCCGTCCTTTGAACTCGTCCATTCTTGATTTTCATTTCAAATTGTTCTTTGGACTTTTTATCAATATGAGGTGATCCGCTTGATCAGGGCTGTTTGAACTAGTTCTTGAAGTGAAATCTGATCTCTTATGTAACCGAAGTAGTTTCATAAGACATCCCCGTAGGGTGAGCACACCAATGATTTGCGTAATGATCATACATCTGTAATGTATTGTATGTTCCATTCTTCGAATATGTCAGAATCAGCACCGTCTTATTCGTAACTCTAGGCAAAAATACTTTTGCCTTTGCTAATCACAGAATCCAAATCTTCTCTTGCTCATTATATTTCTTCACTCCTTCGTTTAAATCTTTAGCAATTCGTAATCACATTTCTTTGGTGATTTGTGTTTAATCACATAAGTATTTAAAATTTTTAACTATTAATCTAATGGCTTCTTTACCTTTATTTTATCTAGATGAATGAAAATTGAAACCAGCGATTTTAACCAAATGAACTTGATGAATGTGATGCGAATTCAATAGATGCAAATTATATGAATTTAATCAAGATGGAAAGACCTAATGAATGATTTCACCCGACTATCAATTATGATTCAATTAAGTCCACTTATTCTAGTCAATTTTTTCATGTTTAAAAGTCAGAATCCTAATGTATTTCTCTCCCTCTCTCAAGTACCGACTAGAAATTGATCCTAGATTTCAATCCCAATATCTCTATTTCGAATTAAAATCAAGAATTTATTAAATTCATGAATCTTTATAGAGCATGCTTCATAGATCCTATACTTTCTCTCAAAACCCATAAAATCTACATTGCGTCAATCCTATGATACCGCCTAAATTCCCCTCTCTCGAGTGTCGAAATTGACTAACATCTATTCATTCAATTAGTGGCCAATGAATTGAAAGCATTAATTTCATGACAATTAAACATATGTGAAAAATAAATAGAAATAACTATGACAATCAAATCATAATCTCAAGTTCGGCTACATCAAACTCTAGATAATGAATTTAGTTCATGATATAATCCATAAAAATACAAAAATTCATATAAGAGAACATGGGGAAGAGAATAGAAAAAACTATAATTGTAGATCTTCAATATTCTTCTCTTGTTCTCCTTTGTCTTCCTTGAATTTTTTATGTTTTGCTCCTTTGAATTGTGTAATTGGCTCCCTTGAATTCTAGGAGATAAATAGGTCTTTGATCTTATATTTATAGTATTGTTGGAGTCTTGGACGAATTAGGGTTGAATTTGGCCAAAAAAGAATCCAAAAACATTTAAAAAAACTTTCCTCACATGGGCGGTGCCATTATGTTATTTTCAGCGTGGTGGGTGCTGCAACTCCTGCTTCAGGTGGAAAGACTGCACTATACATTCTTCAGTATTTTTATCATAACTTCTTCTGATATCTGATTGAGGTGATTCAAGACGATTGGAAAGTTAACTCAAAGGACTACAATCGTTTGCTATGTCAAAAGTGGGTCCCAATATGAGACTAAAATGTCAGAGATTAACTTTTTGGTTGGAAATTAATTTGTGACCATATTTTGATTAAATTTGATCCCCTTGACATTTTTTTCATCCAATTGACTCATAGCACTCTCAGATCTTCATTTCGAGATTCGACACAACTTTTAATTATTTATATTTTAGTCCCCGAACTTTGGATCTCTTACAATTTGGCCCATTTCTCCAATTTTTTCAACTTTTGCTTATTTCCTTCAATTTCATGAACCTATATCACAACATCAAAACACATATTAAAATAATCTAAAACTCGTAGGAATTAACTAAATATCAAGTTTAGATAGTATCTAAAGTATGGATGAAATACACTCATCATCTACGTATTACCAGGCAGCCCTGGGCTCAGCCTATCGAAAACGCGTACTGACCTTCGAGATATGTCTTCTGGATTATAATATGAGACAAATGTATGCATCTCGATTAGGGTCATATTCTATGGTTACCATTCGATTTTCCTTTTACTATAAATTTCATTGTTGCCGGACAAATAATAAGTCAAGCATTCCCAGCCCGTCGATGGTTTCCATATCTGGTGTGGGCCAAACAAAAGGAGTATCACTAACTTAACCCCTTGATTGTTGACAGGTAAATTCAATCAGGAAATTATTCAAATTTTCATTGAGGGAAGGTATGATAGTAAGTGGACCTAGTTATATTGCGAATCTTTTAGATGTTATTTGGCGTCCAATAATTTCCATATGCCTATTATGAATCTGCACTGATCTATTAATAACAAGTAAATCCACGCCAGGAAGTCGGATGGAGTAGATAATTTCCTTGTTATGTTAATTAAATAAAGAAAAATCCCTCCTCAAGCCATGCTTACCTTTTTTTGGAGGAAAATTGAATGAGAACTCGTAAGTTAGTAGCATAGCTAGTCGATGTAACCACCTCAACTTCCCTTACCTAAGAGACTTCATCCCTGGCATATTGCTAGTATCCAGCCATTTGACTTTGAACCTCCTTGTGAGAGGTTGTGGAATTCATTTCCTTGAGCTGTATAGGGAGGAACTGGGTATTCTCCCTGGCCTTGCATGCTCCTTAGCAGTTCCTGCAATGCAAGGTTTTGTTAGGTTATGTTTATCATACTTACAGTCATAGTGACTACTTTCCTGTTGAGTTTAGCAGCTATCGTTGACCCACCTCTTGATCCATCTTTTCCATGCGACTGATAAAATCGATGGCAAGTTGTTGAAGCAACAGGTAAGGGTTTCCCTTCTTCAGGGTGTTCCTTGGCTCTCCGAGGTGCTGACTCTTCATAGATGGAACTCATGGCAGTGTTTCTGAATAGCTTCATTCCTTGCCACTGTGATTTTCCTTTACTCAAGGAATTTACAGGGAAAAATCCAATTTTGGAGTACTTGGTGATTCTTTCTTCAATATCACCTCATTTTCTTCAAATGTAAGAAATCTCCCAAACAAAGGTTGTTGGCCTTTTTCCCATGGGATTCTCATGGTTGGACGTATGAATTTCCACAAACAACATCAATCTATTGACCCCCCCCCCCTCCTTTTTTGCAATGTCAACGTAGACAACAGATATCGGACCCATTCGTCTCCACACAAGCAAAATTTAACATGTTTTAACTAGAGATATGATCAAAGAATCACGACTGTGATGGACGTGGGAAATGTTCTACGACACAGGATGAAAACGTTATAACACCGACAATGTTCAAGAATGATCGCAAACAAAATCATCAATCATAATCGACTTCACCGAAAAATATAAGGAATTACAAACTCAAGCACGTAAAGGAGAAGACTTGCAATTTTATGTATATAAAGTTTGCATATATTTTTTCCACCCTTTGAATTTTTGAAATGTTACAAAAGCTACTATTTATAGTGTTTTAGACGACGTGGTGGTCATTGGATTAGAACCATGTGACTTCATCTCATTAACCGAAGTCTTACATCATTTTCCCATACACTAAATACATTGATAATGGGTCAATCACCCTACACTCTAGGCTGATATTTTTGACATTCATTAATACAAACGTTACATCAATCATTCTTACAAACACTCTGCAGAACCGCTTTAAAGGCAACGAATGGTTTGGCCTAAAGAGAGGACTTCGGAAAGGTCGAGGTTCAGCCAACCAAAGAGTGCTCAAAGAATTTCAGATGGAGATAGCACTTTGGCCAAAGAGATCAGCCCTTTTCCTAGATGGTTTCAACATGACTTCCCTTGGGGCTCCACATGTCCCCACTGGGAGCTTCGGATGCGAGGCATAACAACTATCATTGCTAAGAAAGTAACTTATAATGAAAGTTGATTGTTAGTATTTTCGGTTGTAAACAAAATGTAGAATTCCACCATTACTGTATAACACGTTTGTTTATGGAACTCCATATCACCATCCACCTTCAGAACACTAGCAAGATCCTTTTCTCAGCGTCATTTCTGCAACCACCTAGCTTTAATCTCGGCAGTGCCTCGAGTTGAAGGGGGTGGACCCCGACCTGACAGGAATTTTCAACCGCTATCCCGACCAAATCCTCGCTTGAAGAGGTAACCCATTTACATCCCGTCATCCCCTTTCGTTTTTGTTTCCTATTTTTGTAAATATGATTTTTTAAGAAGACAGTCACTCTAAAACTACCCAGCGGGTGCAATTATAGATGCAAAAGACAGAAGCGCTGCAGAATTGTGGATAGAGAAAGAGGCAGGCCGGAGGTTTTTTCGCCAGGCCAATTATGTTTTGTGAGAAAGAGAGATTACATATATATATTAGGGGTTATGGAATAGGGATTGCAAATTGTTAAAGATAAATTCACAAATAGGTGAAATTCAAAAAAAAAAACCACCAAGCCTTGTACTATAGAATCAACTCCAAGAATTCATTTTCACTATATGCCCAAGTAACTACATCAAGTACCAAAAGTAAAACATGCAGAAAGGGAAATTTGACAGTGATGCATACAAAATTTTAACTTAACCATGAGTTAAAACATTCTTGACAACCAGTATATAATTCCACTAATCACAAGGGCACTTGTTCTTATAAAATACAAATTATCCTTATCTTGCTGTCTACAGCAGCCAAAAAATGCCTCTGCTACCAAAGAATATTACAAAAACTATATCCACACACCTACGACAGATGACACCAAAGAACATTATTTTGGAATAACTAATTAAACTTTATCTTCAGCTAGGCAGCTTCCAGAAAAGTGAAAATGCCGTTGAGCATCAGACAAGAAACACTATAAAAGACAAGGCATAAAGTGCAACCCATTTGTGTCCTCATTTTCTCAAGTAAAAATAACCCGCTATGAAATTCCAACCAGATCAGTAGGATCCCATTTGTGGCATGCCAAACGGCGGCATTGGAGGCATTCCACCCATGGGCATGGGTGGGGGTGGCATTTGTGCAGTAAAACCTCCTCCCATTCCACCGACCCCCATACCTGGCATAGGTGGTGCAGGCAAAGCAAGAGGCAGCAACTGGGCATACATATTCTGCAACAAATAAACAACAAATTCAGTAAAAAAATAAAAATCATCAAATATTTTGAGGCAATTGAAATCATCTAATACCCAGCTGTCAATATATCAGTACATGTACAAGAGTATAACTAATCCCAATGACAGCATGCACATTATATCCGTCATACTACCAGTGAACCAACAAAAAAAGAACCAATTCCCCGACTCATAATTGGGAAACAGAAAGAGTCTCTTGAAGTTACCTGCTGTTTGATAACGTCCTTCTCCTCATTCTCTTTAGCCTTCACTTCATTAAGAGCATCAATTTTGTCCTTGATTAGTTCGTCAACTTTGCCCGTGTATTCACGGATAAACTGCAAAATACAAATAAAATAAAATAATAAAAACAAAGGAAGATATAATATGAAAAATGAAGTTTGTAACAAATGCTATCGAGTGAATTGCCCAAATTGTCACTGAACTTTGTAAAAAGTTTTTAAGGGTTCATTGAACTTCAAAAATCATCTAAATGGTCACTCAACTTTATAAAAAATTTCTATGGTGTCACTGAACTTTAAAAATCACCTAAATGGTCACTAAACTTTGCAAAAAGTTTTCATGGGGTCACTGAACTTTGCAGAAGGTCTCCACAAGGTCATTGAAATTCAATGACCTCGTGGAGACCTTCTGCAAAATTCAGTGACCATTTAGGTAATTTTTAAAGTTCAGTGATTCCGTAGAAACCTTTTGCAAAGTTCAGTGACCATTTAGGTAATTTTTAAAGTTCAATGACCACTTGGAAACCTTTTGCAAAGTCCAGTGACCATTTGGACAGTTCACTCACTATCAAAGAGCAAAGATCGACCTAAAAATTGGGTATGTATCCTAAAATTTGATCATATATATCTTTAACCTAGCACCACAAGAAGAAAAAAGAAAAAAGGGGAAATACTATAGAAGTACAAAGGCTTTTTTTATACAACTTCAGGCTATTCTTTAAATATTAAGAAATCCCCAAAGATGCGAGCTAGTGTGTACTAGAGAGAATAACCTGCAACAGATAGGGGAAGGCAAAGTCGATCATATTATTCATCCAAGCAAGTTCAAGGGCAACATCCGCGCGAATCAAGTCGTAACAAACAAATAGGCACGACGCAAAGCATTCCTTTTTCCCCTGTAGAATCATACAAATAATTATTAGACACCCAATTTCTACCATTGACAATCTCGTATATAATTCTTCAGGAGTGGCATAACTTAGACTCTTCCAAAAGCATTGAAGTACCCCTTTCAGACACCAGATATTTGGACAATGGAATGGCAAAAATAAAGTATTCAAGAGAGTCGTAACAAACAAATAGGCACGACGCAAAGCATTCCTTTTTCCCCTGTAGAATCATACAAATAATTATTAGACACCCAATTTCTACCATTGACAATCTCGTATATAATTCTTCAGGAGTGGCATAACTTAGACTCTTCCAAAAGCATTGAAGTACCCCTTTCAGACACCAGATATTTGGACAATGGAATGGCAAAAATAAAGTATTCAAGAGGGGGAGAGAAATCGTCAATAAAATAAAATAAAAAATCCATTTGGAAAGAGAGTTCATCACGATTTCAATGCAAGCAACTGGTAATAGTTGTATATCAAACCTCAAGTATAAATATTTAGATTTCATGACTAAAAATACATGCTCAATAAAGTAACTAATAACACTTATTCAATGAAGTAACTAATAATACCTGCTCAATGAAGTAAACAAGCAACTCCTCAGCAAGTTCCCGATCACCAGATTGTGAAGCTGTCTCCATTGCATCCTTGTAAAGGTTGTCTTTCTTTGACAATGCAATGGATTGCTTCCACCTACCTGCCTTTTTGTAAATGTAGGCTGCGACGCGCCTCATCTCAAGGAGCTCATGTTTCTCAATCTGTCACACAAATCATATGAGATATTGCTTATTAGCCTTCAGCAACTTGAAATTAAACAAAGGCCAAAACTCTACTTCACCTTCTGCGCAAGGCCAATCTGATCAAAGTTATCATGCAGCTCAATGGATTCACGCAATCTGTCATAATCCTCTTCTTCTATATAGATCTCATTGAGAGCTTCATTCACAGCAGACACATTATTGCTCTGAACTGCAACCATGTATGGCTTGATAAGACGCAAGTGGCCCGCCTAAACAAAGCAAGGTAAAAAGTGTTAGCACAACATTATGCTCAAGTTATCAAATCAAGCATTTCATGAAATGAGAAGGGAAATGACTTGATAAGCAGAATACGAACCTTCCTCATTATGTCCACTACACGAGCATGGTCCACGCGAAGAGCTAGGACATTTAGAACATCATTAATGAGATCAGGGTGCTCTTGCAAATAGAAGTGCACCGCCTTGTAATATAACTCCACGTTAGCAACTTTGACAATAATATCTTTGAATTGCATGTGATCCCAAGCTTCAGGGGAATGATTCATGACGGTAGTGGCAGCATTATCAAACTCATCATATTGAATATATAAATATGTCAGTTCCTTCCAGTGCTGCTGCTCATCACAGGCTCGGATTAGCTTGGGAATGTTGAGACGGGTAGAGAATAATTTTATATGCTCCATGAGTTTCTCATGACGGTATCTAGCATACAGGATACCAAGCTCTGTGAAGATGCCCATGTGTGCACGTTCCAATCCCAAACCACTCTCCATAAGAGAGATAAGCTCATTAAAGCATCCTCGGTTCTGATAATACTCACTAACTTCTTCCAGGTCATCGACCTAAAACAACCACATTGATAAAACAAAATTAGCACTTGAAGATATTGCTGAACTGTGTACTCTCTAAGATGCTCATGAAAAGCTAGGCAAAAGAATCAACCAGGACTCAACCATACAAAAAGGAGTACTCTGATAATCGAGTCATAAAGTGTACCTGTACGATGATGTTAAGACCACATATTTGAGCCAACCGGAACTCCTCAGCATCAACACAAGCAAAACAGACTTCTTTCCACGTCTTTGCGCTATTTGCTTTCCTTGCTGCATCAACAGCCCCTTGAAATTGCTTCAACTTCACTAGTGTGACTGCCAACTTGGCCCAGTTAGATATAAAAGCAAAAATTATCTTTGCCGCCTCATATAACTCTTCATCATACAAGCGATCACCAACATTAGGGAGATTGGCAACATTTGGCATGAGAATAAACTCTTCAACGTCACCCAACCTATCAGTCTTAGCATATGCATATATGAGCTCGCTATCCACCTTGGGCTCCTTCGTTTTCTGCCTAACCATCAGAAGATATTTCACCAAGTCATGATAAACATTTGCATCCTCAGCAGCACGGATGACTTCCAGGAACTGAGTGGCATCATCTGCACGAATAAAAGATTCAATTGCATCACTCACTAGTCCTTCCCTTAGTTGAGCTTTAGCCACCTGACTCCAAACAGCATCTTCTTCTGGTCGAGCATCTGGAAGTTTCGCTTCCATTAAAAAGTTCTTCGTCTTCTCAGGGTCATAGAAATTTGATTCTCTTGTAACACGCTCAACCTCCTTAATTTGTCCGGTCTTGGAAGCTGCCTCAATGTACTTGAAGTGAATGTCAGGATCCTCGCTGAGTAAAGCAAATATTAGTACACAAGCTAACTAGTGTAAAATGTATAATGGCTCAGCCCACAGCCCAGGCAGTGCGAAGTCTCGTGCTTTCTTCAGAAAAATTACCTGGAGCTCAAATATGATCCCAAAAAGAAATATAATCCTTCATACGACTTAAACTGCTCAAAGATCTTTATGCAAGCTTCAACCCCCAACTGCTCACAATATTCTTTTGCAACCTACAGAAAATAACTAGTCAATGACTCAATGTTGCTAATAACAAATTCACTACTGGAGAGAGCAATGACATGCCTGATTTTTTATAGTTCCTAATAGTTTTTACACGGAATAATTCTTTAGGTAACTTTTCAATTGACAAAGAATCAATCAGCTTAGACGGAAAAAATCACGACTGCAATGGCAACATATTAATCCTTACTTGGACAATTATCTGAAGGTTGCCTCTCAAATTAACCAGAAGAAGATCCTTCATGCACTCCAGTGCCCATTCCCGGGAAAGTGTCCCAAAGAATTCCACAAGAGCCTGAAATTGATTACATCACTCAACACTAGAGCAACAAACATTAATGATAAACATATACGGTGACCTGATTTCATTAACCTGTGGCTCAATTGCATGAGTATTCACAATGACACGTTTGATATCTGGAAGTTCGGTGTAGTGCTGCAAGCAACAAAAATTGGTCAATCAATAGGATAAATTTTCACGTACTTGCGTACGTAGAAACACAAGAGTTTGTATTTAACAAAATAACACACGCATGATTAAAAATGTAACCTGAAGCGCTCGTATGTAAAGACCAGCTTTTTCACAGAGTTGTCCAATGCGCGGTCTGTCGTAGTGACTAAACATGCCATTTGCTAAAACAGCATCGGCCACATTAGGAAAGGTCACGAGATTGATTTCAAGGACCTGAAAAGAAGATGCAAGTAATTGACGCCAAATGTCAACACAATGAATAAAATGAACTGGATGGACAACGAGAAGAGCAAAATCTAAAATTTACCTTCGTTTGCAGGAATGCATGTTCTGGCAAATTTGGCTTCAGAACATCTAACAAAAATGCAGTTGCTTCACGGATCATGTTCCTCTGGTGAAAGTATGATTGACAAAAAAATAAATAAATAAATAAAAATAAATAAATAAATAAAATATATAATAATAATAATAATAATAATAATAATAATAAAATTGAAGTAATCTACATAATCAATGGTCTTAAAAAACTTTTGACTCATAACTGATGCTTTCAATAGTTAAAGGAAGCCAACCAGGAGAACCAATGAAACAGTTAGCACCATAAGACGAACTACTTTAATTTTCAAATAAACAAACAATAAATCCCGTACCTGAAGAAAGAGATCAGTAATGGTATTGTAATCAATTGGACAACCTCCCTCCATTTGAGACATCATAAGAGCGAAATTAACAGCTCCCTGGAACACCAGGGTAAAGATTATTTTAGTCATTTCAAACGAGAAGTCCCTTTTACAACAGTGTGAAATTCGAATAAAGAAGAATTGCTCAAAACACCAGAAATAAATCAGTTGTATTCCAAGCATACCTGAGGATCTGATCGGAGAATAGTTTGCAGCAGGAACAGATAGTCAGGTGCATATCCAACCTGTACCAGCATAAACATATTCGTTCATCTGAAAAAATTATAAAATTGAGGGAAAAAATATTGAAAAAAATGACTGGCATTTCCTTATGAACTGATTGATTTGTCACATACTGTAACGTGGTAATTATCCTGAAATAAATAAAAGAAAGTAAGAATATCAGAATGATTGGGCAAGCAACCTGCTTGGAGTATATCAAAATTTTATCGAACTCCCTACGCTCTGCAAAAGCTGCAACGACTTTTGGAGTAGCTCTAGCTTTGATATATATTTTCAGTGCAAGGTCATTGTCCACAGTCTACAGAAAAAATAAATAAATAAATAAAGGACCAAGAAAGCAGGTTCATGTTACAACATAAAAGATGGAAGTTATACAAAATTTCACGTAGAAACAATCTATGATAAAAGAAATTTCAGATTTAACTGGAAATCTAACCTTCACAAGGTCTCCAAGTTCCTCACTACATTCTAGCTTATCCTCGGCTAGCCAGTTTTCCAAGAGATTCTTCTTGTTTTGGTTCACGACCAGGCGAGATAATTCCAAAGACTCGAATGCATTGAGCTTCCCTTTTGTTAAAAGGGTTCCAAAGTACTGCAGCAATGGTGGCGTTTGTCCAGCTTGAACGGGAACACTCTGCAAACATCACATCATGTTAATTAAGCCTCCTCTCCCCCTCAGAAAATTTTGTTTGTACCCAATGAAACATTGCCTGTAATATGATTATGAAAAAGTTTCTTCCATTTAAACGGGGGGAAGAAACATGCATGAGGGATTTAATAATTACATGTATGACACAAAGGAATATGAACTACCTGAAATTTGGCTACTGTATCCGGTGTCCGGAGGATGCCTTGAGGAGAATCCGCAGCAAGCTCAGCAGCCTCTTTATACTTCGTCTGAGCGAACAATTCTTGGAAGCGCTGGACAACCTGAGACATTTTAAGATGACAGGAAAAGCAAGTTATCAGTATCTCAAAGCACTACATAATTGAATAGAAGTAATCATTTCTGGCTCACATTTAATGCGTCACTAACGAGACAAGACGTAATTATAGTAAACACGTTTATTCAAAATATAATCCTGACCCATTCGTAATAGAATTACCCCAGCCCAATTTATACTTCCCGTAAGAAGAAAACATGTGCATAAGCACATTTGCTAATCAAGACTCTGCAAGTAAAGAAATTGCAAGCTGCCTTCCCATCAGACACAAATCTCAGACGGCAAGAGCATGAAGAGCGAGGATTGACTTACTAAATTTTCTGCACCTGGAAGGTTCCCTCTTTTGGCAAGATTGACAGCAAGCTCCAGATTGTTCAGCTGACAAATAATCAGTAACACTCAACACTTGTAGGCGAAAAATGTTTCAGATGGATATACCATAAGTGTAAAGATCGTATACATACTTGGCCGCTGATGAAAGGTATGATTGTTGTTTCATTTACTGTAGCAAGTAAAACCTGGCCTCGCCTATTGATTGCATAGAAACCTCCAACAGATGAAGCTTCTGATGTCAGAAAGATGGGATCTGGACTAATCCTATTTCGATATACTGCTGAGGCAGTTTCCAAATCATAGACAAAGAGAAGTCCCAGCTTCGTAATCACATATATCAAACTATATTTATGGGAAATCTGCAAATAGCAAAAAAATAGTGCTAATGAAACTAAAATTGTAGAAAGTATTCCTTCAATTACATAAAGACACGAACACAATCATAAAGAGGAAGAGGTATCATATGAAGAAATACCTGCATTGCCACTGGAAAATCATCAGCAAAATCTGGAGGGAAAAAAAGATCTGCTTGTTTTTTGGTAAAGGATGGTTTCCCTGCAAAAGATTTTTAGAGTTGAGTAAGGCCATTAAGCAGATGAAAATAACTTTCAGTAGCACCAAGATTTATATAATGATATCCATACCAAAATCTTGGAAATCAGAGAAAAATAAAATATCCACCTGGCTGGGCTCCAAGCTCAATGACATGCAATTTAGATGTAATCTGTCCAGCATTAGAGGTTTTTGTGGCAAAAGAAATAAGCAAAGAATCTTTATCATTTCCAGGAACCTGCTCGAGGTATACAAATGAATACTATAAGAAACTAACTTAGAGAAACTGCAAATGCAAAAACACAGATCAAAAGGAGGCAACATCTCGTACTCTAAACGAGGCAAATGATGCAGCATGCCCTTCAAGAGCTTGACTACGTTGCTGATCCACAGAAAATAGTTGCATATTTCCTTTGACCAGTTGAGGCCTCTGTAAAAATGAATAGAAGAATGTCAAACCAGTAAGATGTTTGTGAACAAACCAGTAAATTAAAACACAAACTCCAGACGGAAACTATACAGTAAACAAACAAATTTGCAAAGACTTCGATGACAATGCCATTTACATTTTTAACCATAAAAACCAGGCGTTCAAAAGGTTAAAATAATGAACAAAAAATATGGCTTCACTCAAGAAAAGAAGATTAATTAGGAAAAGCATCTCAAAAGTCATATCAGATTGTAGATGGAATAAAGAAATAGAGATTAAACTTAACTAAAGTCAACAACTTAGGCCAAGCATAGTAACATGAAGCCCTCAAAAAAATTCAGTACAATTACTGAAGATTTACATTTTTAACCATAAAAACCAGGCGTTCAAAAGGTTAAAATAATGAACAAAAAATATGGCTTCACTCAAGAAAAGAAGATTAATTAGGAAAAGCATCTCAAAAGTCATATCAGATTGTAGATGGAATAAAGAAATAGAGATTAAACTTAACTAAAGTCAACAACTTAGGCCAAGCATAGTAACATGAAGCCCTCAAAAAAATTCAGTACAATTACTGAAGAAACTTGCAATATTGATTAAAAAAGGTAACTAAATTAGTAACTGCTGTGATACAACACTCTAAAAATTCACATTGCAACCTCCAAATTTACATTAGACCCCCAATCACAACTGCCTCTTTCAAGAATTACCGCAAATGCATAGGAGTAATCAAATAAAGCAGAGTGGGAGCATAAAAAATAAAGAATATAATAATTAAATGAGACATTTTTATAAAACAAAATTTATGGGTGAAAAATTCCACGTTGAATATTTATGAAACAACCATTACCTGATGCTTCCTTTTCCCAAAATAATGCCACCACATTACATCTACAAAGCCGAAAACTCCTCGTAACAAAAACGTAATGGGTGCAGATTTTTTTCAGTCTATAATTTGTTAATCTAGCTAACTATTGCAAGACTTTTATGACCTAAAAAGTATATCAAATGCACCACGATCTACGAACTGGTAAGATGGAGGTTTTATGAGTTGTGATTCAATTAAATAGGTTTTCTTTTAAAGAATTTCCCATAAAGTATCCGAATAAATAGCCCATATACAAGCACTGTTTAACAAGTTGTTTGAAAGTTACGCCTTAAGCCCTGCCTCATGTGTCATTAGGGTTTCACGCTTAAGCCATCTGAAGGCTTATGCCTCAAGTCTAAACCTCATTACAGCTAAGGTGTTCGCCATTTTGTGGCAAGACCGAGTCCAAGCATCATAGGCATTTATATCTAACTCAATTTTTTGAGATGAATTTTTTTTTTTTTTTTTTTTTTTTTTTTATCTGAATACCATTGAAAAAGAAAGAAAGCAAATGAGTATGCAATAACATTCAGAAGGAACAATATTACTACATGGAACATACAAAAAAATTTAAAAATGCGAGTAGAAAGCAAGGAAGTTGTAGAAATTATAAGTGCAAAGAGGGAAGGGAAGTATTCAACAACCAATGCAGCAACACCCTCCAAAATTATTAGTTTCATATAATAATATGTATAACATTACAATATGCCACCGTCAATCTCAAAGTTCTGGTGAAACAATAAAATAATGAAAGCAATCGCGCACCTCAGGCGAACCAGGAGCAATACCAATCAGAACCAACCACTTCTCAGAAGGATCACATCTGTAATTGATAATTTGGTTGTTTGCTAAATTAGCTGTTCTATCAAACATCTTCACAGGTTCTGAATCACCTATATGAGATGCATTGAAAAGCTTAAAAAGCATGAACATTAAAATAAAATAGAGAGGGAACTAGAAACAGATAAATAAATCAAAACAAAGGCAAGATAAAGATATCTAACCTTCAATTGACCAGTGATATACAGAGGATTGAGTAACTAAACCCAACATCTTAGGGGTGATCCACTTCCAAAAGACGACCTGTTAAGAGGTGTGATCCAGATATGCAAACATCAAGAAACTGCTTCATTAAGGAAAACATGCCATTTACTATTTAGGGTTAGGGAAAAAATAAAGCGTTCGTAAGTAATGAATATCATACCTGCTCAGGCATCTGGTGTGACTTTATTTTTGCTTTTGCCTCGATGTTGAATATTTGCAAGTGATCTTGAGTAGTTCCAGGAAGTTGAGCTATGACAAATAAATTAATATTCTCAGTAAATAAATTAGATAGAGAGAAAAACCTCAACATATGCATTTTATGCAGTTTGAGTTTTCTTATTAAATAGTCTATCGATAAGTTCCTCGTGAATCTCCTAATCAGTATCTACAAACTTCCACGCTATTTATTCCATATATTTTTTATTTGATAGAAAGAAAGACTTTTTGAATAATTTGAACGCAAGACACATGATTAGTATTTTCATAAAATGCTTAGCATAGATCATGTACCTTTTAGTGCCAAGATTCTAGTATTTGGATTCATAAGAGCGGAATCTGCAGTAATGGGCCGCCTCAACGGCTGCATTGGCATATTCATATCGATGATCACAACACTATTTTGAGGTGCAGTCTCACGAACACAGATATACTTATCCGATTCCATTGTCACATTTGTAAAAGTGATGAACTGAGCATTGATCCCTACGCTAGGCAACTACATAGCCACATCAAACGGTCAGAATCCAGTTCAACTGAACAAGCTCAAATTCCCTAAAACTAAAAGAAAAAATCGGGGATCTGAAATTAAATTGTATAACCTAAGCAACTCGTGCAACTAAAAATACTGTCAAATTACCAGAGCAAACAACTCCTGATCCAAATTTAAATAAAATAAACTAAAAAAGTAACCAAACGGTTGAAAATTAATTGAATTGGAGAGATTCTGTAATTAACAATCCAGAATCGGGAGAAATGACGAGCGATTATTGTGAGATACCGTGAGGGCTTCTTTCATGGTAATCGGAGCGTTGGCGGCCGCCATGCTTCAGATGAGACCTCCGGATCTGATGAAGAATCGGTAAGTCGAGAGTCAGCAACGAAGGGAATCCGACAACTATGAGAAGGAGAAATAGAGCGATCTAGAAAGAGAGAGAGCGGAGGGTGTGTGTATATCTATACAGATATACACGACGATGAAAATGGAAATTACGAGCAAGAGATCTGAAACATTGGAGGGAGGGAGAGAAAAGTAGCGACTTTTGTGAGTGCGGTGCCTGTAGTTGTGGAGTTTAATCGTCTTCAGTTATTAATCCTGCGGTTACGGATCATTAACTTTTAAAATAAGTTATTGACATGGAAAATCTACAATAACATAAAAGAAATAATGAGGGTTTACTGTTCATTTTTGTCACACTCGTTGTCACACTTAATTGATTTGGCAACAAGAAAAATATTATTCAAAAATACTTTAGGACTTTTGTCACACGCTATTGTCCACTGTAATATTTCTTCGTTGCTTTGAATCTGACACACCATGCTCTTTCTTTTAATTCTCACGTAATTAACCATCAAAAATTTTTATATATTTAAATTTTGAAAATTATATTAATTCTGACACACCATGTTGTTTCTCATAATTCTCACATTATTAAATATCAACCGTATCTTATATATTTAAATTTTGAAAATTATATTAACAAAACAAAATTATTGTAAATAAAATGTAAAAATAAAACATATTGATATATTTCTCGAAATGAGTTTGGAGATAATGTAAAACATCTATCGATTCGACTATCATATAATGGTCGATGAATTTGTAGAGTTAACTTGTTATCGAAAATTTCGAAATATACTTTGAAAATGCCTATTTTGATGTCTGTAACATTTGGTACGATTAGCCGTTTCACGCACCGTTAACGACGTGAATACTATGTCACGAGTTTCAATATGATATTAAGAATGTAATATTTCGACTTCGTTTGATATCTCGTAAGGAGACTGAAAATGAACGCAAAAACATAAATTTATTAAAAAAAAAAAAAAAGGCAACATGTAGTAAACCTCCGTGCACAGAGGATTGGCAGGTTTTTTGTTTTTTTCCTCGTAAATTCTTTTATTAATATATTTAATTTTAAACAATTAAATATATTTAAATATTTACTTACAAATGTTAATGTTTATATTTTTTACCTATAAATAACATTTACCGTTACAATTTTTGTATTACTTTTAAATAACTTTAGCTGATTTTTGTTACTTATAGTTTAATCTTTTTATTAATATTTAATTTAATAAACTAAATATATCTAAATATTTATACTTAACAAATTTTAAGTTAACATTTTTTTTAATATATATTAGTAGCTTTTGCAATTATATATGAGAGATTTAGAATCTAAAATGTAAAGAGTTACTTACTATTATAGTAGTATGTAAAAAACTTGGTAAAAGTTATTTCAGATTAGGGTTAAAAAAATTTGTAATTGTAACTTCGATTTTTTAAAAAATGTAATTGTAAAAGCTATTTATAAGTGAAAAATATGAACTTTGATTTTTAAGTATATATTTGTAAAATGTAAATAGTTACTTACGAGTACAAAGTATGCTCCAAGTTACTAACGAATATAAATTTTTTCGTTTTTTTTTTCTAAATTGCTCGATTAAAATGATTTCAATTTTAATTATTTGTATTTATTACATTTTTTTACTTTTTTTCTGGTAGATTGGTGGAAATTATATAGCTTCTTGTTAAAAAAAAAACTCAGAATGGTATTTTTGTCATCTACGTTTTCACATTGAACTGGTTTAAAATGTTTTGTTCAAATGATTTGTCTTTTTCATTCAATATAATAAATAAAAAAAGATATAAAAAAATATATAAAGTAATGTACTATCTATCACTTTGTCAAGTTATCCAATTTCTTTCCTTCCTTCAGTTGGATTGATTTGTCTCCAAAGAAAGAACTTTCCATATTTAAAACTTTCGACATTCTTCTTTCTTTCTGTATGAAAAATTTTTTTGTAGTCGTCATCTCGATCTTGGAGAAGAAAATCATGGAATTTGTAACGATTGTGCTTGGGTATGTACTTGGAAATTTTAGTTTTTGGTTGTGTTTTTCATTTTTTTTGTTTTTTTATTTATTTAACATATGTTGTTTTTTATTCTGTCTACAGATGAAAATTTAGCTTCGCTCATATTTTCCTACGTAATATGAGGTATGTTATTCTTTCTGTATATACATGAAAATCTAAGTAAATATTTCTTTATTTGTTGGATATAGCTATGAAGGTTTTCTTTTTTTTTCCTTTCATATGTATTTATTTCTTACTATTTTTTTCAAATTTAACTAATGTAACATAATTTTTTTGTTCTGTGTATACAACTTGACTACGTCTTTCTTTTTTTACCGTTATCTACATGAGAAGTTTAAGTTGTTGTTTATGTTTAATGAAGATTACAACAGTTTGGTATTTGATTGTTATCGTCCAATTTATAATATTTTTGTACATGCATTTCCGAAGAGGATTGTTGATTTGCGGAATGTTTTCTAATATGTATTTGAGTTCAGTCAATTTAGTTTATACTGTGTTTAATTTATATTATCACTATTGGTTGATTTTTAATTAAATTCATAATTTCTTCTATTATTGAAATCAGAGGTCAGTTCATTGTTTTCATGGATTCTTTCGAAATATCTATGAATGAAGAGTCTGGTCGTTTTGATCTTCAAACTTTGTCCTAAAACACAAGTCAATCATATAATGCTTTTATTCGGCAACAACAAAATCGAAGGTAGGCGGATAGGAGATATCGAAATGGAACTGTAAGTATTGATCGTCGTAAAAGAATAAATGATCGTATGTTATCTACAAATAATACTTCTGAAATTGATTCTGTGCATGAATATACAATACATTCTGAGGCATCTACTTCGAATGAAGAAATGATAAATATTTTTTATTCTGAATTACATGGAAGTTCTAATTTGTTAAGTGTACCAGCAACTGCATATGTATTACCAACTTGTGCTTATTGTAAGCATTGTGGTGTACGCAAATTTTATAGAGAGACTAAAGGTTTTTGTTGTTCTGATGGAAAGGTGAAACTTTTTATATCCGATTCACCGGATGAATTGTATATTTTATTTACTTCTAAAGAACATGTATCTATGGAATTTAAAAAATATGCACATTCATATAATAACCACTTTGTGTTCACTTAATTTGATGTAAAGTACGATAAAGAACTGTTTAAAGCATACAAAGGTATTTGCACATTTAGAATTCAGGAACAAGTATATCATTATGTAAATCAACTTATGCCGGATAATAATACGCCTTGTTATATGCAATTATATTGTCATGATACAACTAATGAACTAGAAAATCGTATAAAAACTTCAGAATATCTGGTAGAATCTATTTTATTTCTTCTAATCGAAATCTTGAAGGTAAATCCGTATAGTAAATTTTTTAGGTCTTTAAGCAATATAACTGATTTGCATCAAATAAGATGTCATGCAGGACTCAATCAGAGAGTCTTTAATACTCCGTCGGCATCTTAAGTAGTTGCTATATGGGTTGAGGATGATGAGAATGCAAATATTCGTGTTCGTGATATTACTATATATGGTCATTCTGGTGATTCGTATAGGGTTCATTATTATTATGGTTGTTATGATCCTCTACAATATCCTTTGCTCTTTCCTTTTGGTGAATGTGGTTGGCATGAAGGCATTCTAAGATACGAAGAAACATCTTCTCAGATTGCACAGTTTGTGGACAATGTTGCTGATCAAATTATTGAAAAAGAGGCTGCAGGTTTACTTATATACTTTCTTGTGTCTATTATACTTCTACAAATGTGATATTGAAAGTAAATATAAAATTTTATTCATTCTCGCTTATGTATTGCTGAAGGATACGAAGAAGAAACGGTCTCGGGTATCATGTCGTGAGTACTATTCGTATAAGTTACAAATTAGGACTTCTGATAAGTCTGTGTTGCTTCACTCTGGTAGACTTTTTCAACAATATGTTGTGGATATGTATGTTAAAATAGAGACATCCATATTAGATTATTTTCGTAGTAATCAGAAACAAATTCGTGCTTAACTTTATCAAGGTATCGTAGACAGTATACATAATGGAGAAACAAAAGGGTATAAAATAGGAAAGAAATTTGTTTTACCACAATCATTTACATGTGAACCTAGAGATATGCTAAGAAGGTACTTAGATGCTATAGCTCTTGTCCAACGTTATGGAAAACCAGATTTATTTATAACTATAACATGTAATCCAAATTGGCCAGAAATTAAGCAAGAATTAAAACATAATGATGTGGTTCAAAATCGATCGGATCTTATTGTACATGTATTTAGAGCAAAATTAGAAGAATTTAAAAATGATTTATACAAGAGAAATATTTTTGGTCCTATTATAGCTCATATATATGTGATTGAATTTCAAAAAAGAGGTCTCCCTCATGTATCTGTTGTTGATTTTTAACTGTGGTCATAAAATTTCTTCCACTAAACAAGTTGATAAAATAGTATCTTGTGAAATTCCCGATAAAAATATACATCCTTTTCTTCATTCAATTATTGTAAAGCACAATATGCATGGTCTTTGTGGAAATCTAAATTCTAAAAACATATGCATGGAGAAAAATAGTTGTAAAAATAAATATCCAAAAGATTATTGTAATAGTACTATGTTTGGAGATAATTCGCACCCACTGTATAGGCGGCGTAATAATGGTATTTATGTTAAAGTGAAAGGTAAAATGTTAGACAATCAATGGGTTGTGCCATATAATCCTTATTTAAGTGCAAAATTCGACTATTATATTAATGTTGAAATATGTTCTTCTAATAAAGTTGTTAAATATTTATACAAAGGACGTGATCGTATTAATTTTTTGGTCGGCAAAAATAACATAAACAAAGACATTGATGAAATTTCTACTTGCCAATCTGCTAGATGGATATCTCCACCTGAAACTATGTGGAGGATTTTTGTTTTCAATTTATCAAAAATATATCCAGCTATTTGTGCTTTACAACTTCATATTGAAGATCATCAATGTGTAACTCACAAAAATACAAACAATTTATCTTCTGTTATTGAGAATGAAAATACGAGAAAAACTATGTTAACTGAGTTTTTTCGAATAAATAAAATAAATGAATTTGCTCGAACACTTTTGTATCGAGATTTCCCAACGCATTTTGTTTAGAATGCATCTAACAAAACATGGACACCTAGAAGAAGC